ATAAAAAAAAAGTAGTAAAAATTTTGTAAGAGTTTTTGTAGGGGCTTAATATTGACAATTTAACATGGAAAGTTGGCTATAACAAGTTAAAAAACTGTACAACCGACTTCAATTTAAATAAAATGAAACCATCATCAATGTAAATGTCTAAGTCAATTAAATACGCATTATAGAGATAACTCAAAAACTACTAGTGACGTATTGATCAAATTTATATGAAATCACATAAGGAGCATGAGCATTCAAATAAAAAAATAATACATAAAAAATACAGTCGATTTGACAACCTCAATCTCCTTTTTTTAAAGATGGTTGAAAAAGGTCAATCTGATAAAATACCTAAAGTGAATGGTTTTATGGTAGCTCAATACTTATTTATAATAGTGACGATGGAAGCAAGGTAAGCATTGGCTTATTTATGAAGTAGTAGATTGTTCGTTAGGAATATTACACGTCATGTCCTACCTAAATGTTGGTGATGTTGCAACAGAGCTAGCTAAGGATTGCATTAATCAAAAAAGTAATAAGAACTAAACTTGTGTGAAGTAAACGCAACATTTTCTACGCTACAATTTCTGCTTTTTATGTTTTTCTACAACGGACCGTGCAGGCTTTCATTTCATTGAATTGAACTATCCCTTTTTTACCTAGGCTGTACTAAAAGTATCGGGAATGGAATATTTCCACTGTTCCTGTCATATTAAAATCTTTTTAATTGAAAACTCCTTGGTTTTGAAAATCGAATACCATTTATTTATTTAAAAAAAGATTCTCGGTCTTGTCACAAGGTTTTGTCAAACTTGTTTAGTCGTTGAGAAAATGGAATTGACTCGAGAAAATTCAAGAGCGATGATTTATTATGACTTTCGAAGTGGTTACACAAAAACAGTGTGCTGACCGGATGATTTCTGCATTTGGTGAAGAAGCCCCATCCAAAGCCACAATTTATCGCTGGTTTGCTGAATTTCAACGTGGACGTGTCAAGCTCAGTGATGATCTCCGTCAAGGTCGTCCAAAAACTGCAGTCATCCAAGAAAACGTTGATGCTGTGCGTAAGCTGATTGAGGATGATCGACATGTGACATACCGCGAAATTCAGGCAACTTTAGACATTGGCATGAGTTAAATACAAATAATCTTGCATGAACAATTAGGTGTAAAAAAAGTTGTTTTCCCGATGGATACCGCATTCCCTATGTGAAGAGCAAAAAAGCGGCTCGCGTTACTTGGTGCGTCAGAACTCTCGAAAGATTCCACGCAGGATCCTCAAATGCTGTATACAACATCGTATCAGGTGACGAATCCTGGATATACGCGTACGAACCCAAAACAAAAAACCAGTCACGAGTTTGGGTGTTCGAAAATGAGTTAAAGCCAACAAAAATTGTTCGTTCACGGAGTGTTGCAAAAAAAATGGTGGCCACTTTTGTCTCCAAAACCGGCCATGTTACGACTATTCCTCTTGAGGGACAAAGAACGGTTAATGCGGAATGGTATGCTAGCAATTGTTTGCCACAGGTCGTTTCTGAACTCCGTAAAGAGAACTGCAACCGTCGCATCATCCTCTATCACGACAATGCGAGTTCTCACACCGCACACAGAACAAAAGAGTTTTTAGAGCAAGAAAACATAGAATTATTAGACCATCCGCCGTGTACAGCCCCGACTTAAACCCTAATGATTTCTATACTTTCCCTAAAATAAAGAATAAATTGCGTGTACAGAGATTTTCATCACCTGAAGAAGCTGTGGACGCCTACAAAACGGCCATTTTGGAGACCCCAACTTCCGAATGGAATGGTTGCTTCAATGATTGGTTCCATCGTATGGAAAAATGTGTCAAATTTCGCGGAGAATACTTCGAAAAGCAATAAATACATTTTTAAATAGTAATGTTGTGTCACTTCCTTGATTCCCGAAATTTTCAGTGCCGCCCTCGTAAGTTTCAGCCATGCTGGTACTCGTTTAAACTTCACATAGACATACCGATCATGTCATTTTCAACTTGATAACAAAAATGAATTTATTTTGTGACGACCTGTGTGGTTTCGATTTCAGAGCGAAAACGATTTTGGGTAGATTTATTATACAACACTCTCTTTGAATAGATTGGCAACCAACCTTCGTGGAACTAAATCTCTAATACAAAACTTACCAAATGTGTGGTTTTAATTTTATTATCAGTTTATTTACAGATTACATGTATATTTACACATCAATAACCATTTTAGGTATTTATCATTAAACATTCAATATATGTTTTTAAATCAACATTTACATCTGCCTACTGTATTATAATATGAGCATAAGTTATCAAAGCAAAATCCGTACACAACAGTATGCAAGATAATAATTACATATAGTCTTTACACATTTTCTTTAAAAAATCTATTATACTTATTATTATTTAACATCTTCTTTAAAGAAACACAAAACATGTATGTGAATGCAAGTTACATATTTAAATTAATCACGTTTCTATCTGCCACAATGGCAGACGAATATGATGGCTATAACTTATTTACGAAAATGCTGTCACAAAAGCATATCTTAAACTTGAAACAGGTCAGCCAACAAATTATGTAACTTAAAATCTTGATCCTACGGCAGTAGGTTGTAAATTATCAGTGATTATTTTTAATTATACATTTCCTTAAATTATTTATTTTAAGAAAAAAAAAACAAAGAACTTAATATGAGTGTGATAGCATTACTTTTGTCTTTCCTATCAAACACTATGAAAATATATCAAAGTCGTACAACTAATGGACAACCCTTACAAGAAATACAATATGCCCCATGAACGTGAAGTTGCGGAAATAACCCGATTCAAACAAATCAAAACTCCTTTAAATTCCAATCTCAAGAGTAATTATACTTTAATATGGCATATAACATTTAAATACTTGATTACCTCCCAATAGTATACAAATATATATGTAGGTACCTGTACTAGTGTTAAACACTCGCTGCCAGTGGTGCAATAAAATGGAGAAACAGGACGACGCTGTGTTGCACTTACGGGCCTTACGGCAGGCTTGTCGCCCTATTTTATTGCAGTGCGGGCAGCGAGTGATTAACATTAGTATAGCGTCTGTTCGTAGAGAATTGATAAATATTCTTTCTTTATTTGGTAATGGACTCGTACGATTGTACTTTTGCCAGTATCAAGTAATAAGAAATTATGTTGATGCGGCACGCACTACACGCCGGCATATCGTTCGCACCGGCGTAACTTCCCTTTACGTACATAACATGCATTCCCCTCCGGTATTAAGAACGCACCGGCAATGGGATTGCATAATCGACCTACGGTCCTGAGCCGTGGTAACTCAGATGGTTAACGCCCGCTGTAAATATAACAGAACGCGAGTAACCCGGGTTTGTTCCCCACCGGCACCAATGAAATTTAAGTGCTGATCTACCACTTGCTCGGCGGTGAAGGAAAACATCGTGAGAAAATCTGCATGTCTAAGAAATAAAAAAAAGTATTTAGAAGACATGTGAAGTTCGCCAACACGAATTGGGGCAGCACGGCGGATACTTCCTTGCCCTAAAACCCTCTCAGAAATGAGGGGAGGCCTGTGCCCAGCAGTGGGACATATATAGGCTGTAACTGTACTTTACTTTATCGACCTACGGCCTGAGCATGTGTTGGCTGGTGATGTGGCGGCGCTGTTCCTGAAATAAATTATCCGTAACAGTATACTTCTTCACAATATGTTGATGGATCACACGATTTTTTGGGAGATATTGACAACTTGAGCCAGCAGACAATTGACGGCGCCATTATCTTGAGGTTCACGTCACCATTAGAGCATTTGTTTTACAGTGTCCCCTAATAGTACACATGCAAAGCTTTTTTGCACCTTTACATATCAATATAAACTTGAAACCAATACTTAAACAATAATACAGGTAACTGCTCCTGTATCCACCAACAGTCAAGTCCACGTCAAAACTCCTTGATAATTTATTATGAAAACGTCTCGCAGTAGCGACAGTCGCATAAGTGTCGTTATCTGTATAACGAACGTCGCTTATCGCCTCAAGCACAAAGTTTTGTGGTGCGATGCTCGCAGATGTCAACAGCGAAGCTAGTTGGGCAAGCCGACGCTGTTCATCTGTCAGGAAAAATCAATTAGCTGGCCGCAATTTGTAAAGTGTTTAGGAAACCCGCTTTTTATCAACTCTCGCCGAACAGACCTTACATATAATAGATAAGGATAAACCTTAATAACCAATTCATACCACCATTCTGTCAAATAACAGATAATAGCAGTAATATAGTACTACACTAGTTTAGACCTTACAGTTGTGAAACGCCTTTAATGTCAGACGATGCCGCCGCCCGCGTAGGTATTTACACGGCCAACGTGTATGCTAGGGGGTTGTCACAAAAAGATATTATAATACTTTATTATACTTAATTTATATTAAACTATGTACATACTTATAAGTTATAAACTTCTATCGAACAAGGTCATCGATTACTACAAGTGTTGCACTACCCAATATTTTCGAGGCAATTTATTTTTATAGATATTTTTAGTTTTCATTTGTTATATTTAATTATGTGTGCATTCGCATTCGGATAAACAATTTTATCAAAAAAAAAAAAAAAGATAGAAACGCACGGCCGTCATTTGAATTCAATTTTACTTAGTAACTCATATAACAGTAATTCACCGTTATAAATATTATAGTCTTCGGAAACGGCACATAAAATTAATTCAACAAGTACTATAAATCTCGCTCGCGCCAACCGCATGTATTGTCTATCAGACTCAGTAAAGTGCGATAGCACAAGGTCGGCTCGCCCCCGACCCGCAATGCCCCCACCGTCCATCTGCACAAGTACATTCGTTTCCCAACTGTAAGGTCTTTAAACTGTGGTACTAATAGTGTATTAGAAATTTCCTTTATAGTACCTTATAACATCAGATAACACATACAAGCATGAAACAAATCCAAACGTGTGTTAACTAGTAAACTCAACCTTAATCCCTGCCATTAGGGGACATATTCCGATCCCGCTTGTTCTTCATCTTGGGTGGTGCGCGGTGCCGGTCACGTTTACGACTCGATGAGGAGCAGGACGATGAAGGGCTAGAGTCTGGAGGAGAGCCCGCCTCGTCTGCTGCCAGGCCCATGGTCTGGGATTCTGGGGTGGATGGTTCCAGAACGCTGTTACGTAGAGCGCGACGTTGTTCCTCGGTGTGTTGTGGGCACCGTGTGGACCTGCGACAAAGTGAAAAAACGAAGTGCAGTTTTTCACCTGCGACAAAGTGAAAAAGTGCGTTATTCGTATTTGGGCTTTGTATCATTGATGTTTATTACACCACCAACCCATTACGTTGCATGGACGTAATCTTTCATCATATTCATCAGCGCGTGAAAGTTTACTGCTGGACATACACAGACCGCTAACTATATAGACTCTAACGATAAAGACTAGATAACTAGGGAATGAATAAATTAACCGACTTGGTATTACATGGATCTCACAACTTTTTACGGTAGAAGAACTGAGTTGCGAGACTTGGTTTTTTACCAGTTATGTTATTGATGGCATTATTTTCTCACGCCGACACTAGACGGCAACATACTTCTCTCTACAGCCCGTAAAAAGGCAACAGACGAACATGATCGCTTAGCAGACGTGTTGACGATCGCAATCAGATTTTCTGTACTCGTACATCTGGTATAAAAAAGAGAATATTAAATGGCCATTTGACGGAAGCTACAAGGTCCACGAGTTAGTAGTAGTACGTATACGTACGTATGCGTGCTAGCCCGTGTACTTGCGTATTTATTCTATAATGAATAATTAATATATTACACTAACTGATACCCGCACGCTTCGCTGGGCGCAATGTAATATATCGACATTTTTTTATTGGACTTTCGTAAAATCCATTCTCAGTGAGCGTCTACATTACGAAATGAGTAACCCTAGCCTGTGACCCTGCGAAGTGCAAGGTCAAAGTTGCCTACTAAATTTATTTATTTAATTCAAAATATTTGTTTTTATTTTTTGTAAAATATCAGTGCCATATTCTACTCCATTCACATGTTACATTTACCCAATTTTTTTCCAGACGGTAAAAATAGTCATCCAGTACATTTATAGGTATAGATAGATAATAGATTCCACTATTTGGAAATTGTCAGTTCTAAAATACTACTGGTAACAAGGAAAAACCAGTCTCGACAAATCAATTTGTACATATCTACCCACTTGTCTCATGTCCAGCGCTGTTACTCTTAGTGTGTTACATGTTTGATCACATGATCATATAAAAAGAATGAAATAGAAGATTAAAGGAATTAATGCTATTTGAGCTTTTCTTTTTGAGCCACACTGCTCTTACCTTTGAGATTCTAGAGCAATGCGAGCTGCTCAAAGAATCCTAACAACTTTCTGACGTCGCCAAAAATCTCGAGTATCGACCCTAGGTACTTAGCCTCATGCGCTATTACTATTCAAAAATGTTGGAATACGGTATTAAATAAAACTAAATAATATAATAAAAGAAAATCCTATATATAGTAATATTTTCTTTAAAAAAATTCATAGACTGTTAACTGCTTTGTGTATTTATTAAGAAAAACACAACCTACCTTGTGCACAATTTCTTGGTATGCTCGGAGACCACACCGCATATCTGCAGCAATAGGTTCTTCTTCTCATTGGCCGTCATCGTCTCGTAGGTTGCACCACCGTCGTTGGAGTCAGGGTTGTGATTCCCATTGTTATTCCTACTGTTGCCACTTCAATTTAAATAAAATAATTTATTACTAGAGTGATGTCCTTTAAATCCAGACTAGAGAATTTTTAAGAGGCGCTTGAGTATTTTTAATATTATTTTTAATGCAGGTTTGTGACATTTCTATTCTTTGGTTATGCGGTTGCCTATTACCAGAAAAGAAATGAAATAGCGAAAAGATATGACCGTGGTCCATAGACATCTATATATATATATATATATATATATATATATATATATATATATATATATATATATATATATTTATATATATATTATCATCGATTAAGAATCAACATTGTCACCCCTAAGGACTTAGATGAGAGAGATGAAGAATGTGTAATTTCAAAAAAAAATTGTTTCGGTTGCCTACACTCACGAAACACAGCGGCATTAAGCTGCTATTTTATGCTGGTATTCTGGTTTCTTCCCCGGTTGGGCCAACCTATTCTTGCTACAACCATAATTTATTTAGATACAGCATGGCTACGCATATCAAAAGTAATTTGTAAGAAAAAATATACTATAATACCATTACTGGAGAAAAATGGAAAGCTGCAGTGGTAGTTTGGGGTACTAGAGCATATCTAAATATTTTTAAAAAAATATTTAATAGTCATTGAATAAAACTAATTTTAATTTTTTATATTTATATTTTTTTATATTTTGTATATTTAACTTTTTAAATACCCGACGTTTCGAGAGCTTTACAGCACCCATGGTCACGGGAAGGACTGAGATGTTCAACGTCCAGCTGTCATAGTTAACCGCGGTTACCATAGATTAAAATTTAACTTTTGTTCCGATCTGCACAGTATGAACTTATGGTATCATGGAGTCTTGCAGTTGTATGCTTGGGTTGGGATTTAATTTTATTTATTATAGGATCCCAAGCAGATGGTAGCACCCAGCCATCTTCTCTATTGAAATTAGGATGTTTTTTGATTTCAATAGCCTCGCGAATCATCCTTGGAAGGAATCGGTGTTCTTTAGCGAGGATTTGTGGTCTATCAAATCTGATGTAGTGACGGGGGCGATCCTGTACGTGTTCACAGACTGCAGACTTCCCGGAGCGTCGACTTTTTTAATTCTCAACATTTCGGGCAATTTCCAGCACCCATGGTCATGGGAGGACTGAAGTTTTTGACATCCCAATGTCATAGTTAACGAAAGCTACCTTCAACTTTGACGACCATGGGGGCTGCTGGCTACAATTCGACTGTATGATATTTCTTGTGTGTGTCCTAGATTTAATTTTTTTTAAATTAGATAGGTTATCTATAATAGAGGTGATCCCAAATAAATTAGGGAAAAATTAGCCCTACAGGTAAGGAAAATAGAAAATGAAGTTTTAAAATGTAACTATATAGACGTAATTCTAATGTTACCGTGAGCTTGTGGTATATCTAAGTCCACTCAAATGAGTACAAAATTTAACTTTTACATGGACTTAAAGGTTAAATTTCGGAGCCGTGGTAGCTCAAATGGTTAGCAACCCAGGTTCGATCCCCACCGTCACTAATGAAATTGTTACTTGCAATTTTAAGTGCTGATTTACCACATGCTCAGCAGTGTCAAGCAACCGGCAAGTCTGAGAAATAAAAAAAATATTTCGAAGACATGTGAAGTTCGCCAACACACATTGGGGCAGGGCGGCGGACACTTCCCTGCCCAAAAACCCTCTCAGAAATGAGAGGAGACCTGTGCCCAGCAGTGGGACGTATATAGACTATTTGACTGACGTTTAACTTTTTAACTTTATGGGCTTTATTTCTTCTATACCCTATGTCTGAGCAGTTATGTAGTAATTATTTTATTCTTTTTAGTTCTTTGAAGTAGGCTTTTAGTTTTTATTAATAATTTAATTTTGTTAAATTATTCTGTTTGCCATATTAAGCAAGCTAATGAGTGATGTTAAATGAAAAACAAAATCTTATAGTACAGAAACAATGGAATGCATTTTCTACTATGTAATATATTTTGTATAAGTACAAGTTAAATTATAAAAAGGTTGCTTTCACCACGGTCTTCATCCCTTAGATCCCTGATGCGGTAACAGGTCTACACTTCATTTTGCAATTAAGTGTACGGGTTGCTTTAGAGGTATGTGACTCCCACTCAGGAACGATGATCATACAGCTACGCTTGGGTAAGGGTGACAAACGAGCACACAATCCACCTGATGCGAAGTGGATGCTGTGGCCCATAGACATCTATATCTAACCCTGATTAAGATTAAAAATTCATTCCGTTATCACCCCTGATAACTAAAATGGTTTGCCTCATTTCCAGTAAAATGTGTCTCCAGTTCTCCACACTCACCATATGAACACAGTAGCATTGAGCTTACATTGGTATTCTGTAAGTGTGGTCCCCCCCCCCAGTCGAGCCGACAGCATGGCTCAACAACGTGTAAAATCTGTGGCCTATGTCAGTGCCCCTGATTTGTTTACAGAAAAAGGCTTAAATATAAAAGATAATTATTAGCAACTAACTTATGCAACTTGGGTTTTCTGCTATTATTATTCTTAATTCTTCGTTTGCGACGCTCGTTATGCAGGGAGCCGCCAGCCCAGTCGGCGTCGTCCTCATCATCACTGAGTAGTCCCGCGTACGATGTTGGCTCGCGACTATTGGACGCAATACGACGGGACGCTATACGCGAACTGTTACGGCCCATTCCTGCAAAATAATGTAATACATACTAAATATCGCTTAAATTTGTCTCTCCTTTCTTTCCCCTAAAAATGTATTGGATATGGGCTTCCTCTCTTTCCTATTGTAAGAAGTATTTATCACTCAAGCAGACTCATTTTAGGTATGTAGTCCTATGCAGAAGGTTGTTTATGATCAATTAGATTCAACCTTAGATCAGCAGTGGAATTGTGTGTAACTCTGGTGCAAAAAGTTTACTCCCTATGAACAAAATAGTTGGCTTATAATAATTAATACTGAAACAGAAACAGAAACTTTTTATTCAATATAGATTATAAATAATACTTATTGAAAATCACTTTTTTTTAATTTACTGGTAGTTATAATAATAATTACTTATAATTAATATTGATACTGAGGAAACCAAAAATGTTAAAATGAATTCAACCATGATTCCCACCACTGTGAACCAGTTGTACACAGTGGTCAACTGGTTCACAGTGTTGCCAGATTTTTTTCACCTTCCTCCCTAGATTTTTCAAAAAAATTCCTAGTTTCCCTATGTAGGGGGATAAAAAACCTCTGACTTTTTATTCGGTTAAGTTTCGTGTGAATCAAATTTATCAAAACTAAAAAGTTACTACTACATACATGCTACGTACTTAGACAATCCAACCCAATGGACGAGTAATGCGCCTAATGCTACGAACAAAAAAGTCTGTCACTTTTGGTGCGGGGAGGAAACACTACATAGACAGTACTGCACAGTGCACACCTACTCAATAAAATTTTGTGTCACTAAGGCACACACAAATCTAAATCTTGCATTTTACGAACACATGTAGGTTAGGTTATACATCAATATAAAAAAGTTATGAGTATAAGACGGACAAATTAATTACGATACTTACACAGCGATAATGAATTGTCGGCATTGTCTGTTTTGAGAAAGAATTCGAAAGTTGGTAAGACTAGTGAAAAACCTTCAGAAAAACCTCTAGATTAATTTCGTGATATTAAAACCTCTAAAAAATCTCAACATCTTCCAAAACCCCCTAGATTGAGGAAAAACCTCTAGATCTGGCAACACTGACTAGTTCTACATTTTTTTGTTAATACAATTGAAGTGACAAACGAACATACAGCCTACCTAATGGTAAGTGGTAAAATAAATAATCACTATAATTTCTCATAAAACTCGCAAAATTTGAACAATCAGGCAAATTTCATTCGTTCAGCACGGCCACCTTGCTTATCTTTTTGATTACAAAATGTGAAAAATTCAAGTTTCTTCGTTAAGTTTACCATAGAGTGATATGTGAGTCAACAAAAATTATTTTTTCCTGATTTGTATTTATAACAATATATATATATATATATATATATATATATATATATATATATATATATATATATATATATATATATATATTACACTAGATTAGTAATTACCGCACCAAAGCATTGACACTGCACATATGGCCACAGCCATATTCCTAGCTAACGCCAGATCAGTATTCAATGTGATGCCGAACGAGTTGGGTAAATGCGTAGTGAAATAAGGCGATTCAAGGTCATAAAACAATTAATTAAGCTGAATCATTTTCCACTCATAAGTTTGAGTTCATGTTTTCATATAAGCTTAAAAACCTGAAATAAATAAAATTATTGAATATTGCGATTTAGGTTTAATGTTGCTACTTTTCCGCCTTTTTTTTTTTTTTTTTTAATTTATTTATGTACACACATTAAGGTACAGAAGCAGTCTTATAGTAATTACGTACAAAGGTTCTACTTATTCCAAATTCGCTGAAATATCTTCCAGTAGACCCATAAAGGAAATTATATTTAAATTGCAAACTTAGTGCATACATTAGTACTACAAAAAATAAATAATATACACAATGTTACGGAAATTATATAAAATAAAACAATAAATAAAAATAAAATAAATCAATAAATAATAATAATAATTGATACGATATATACATATGATATATATATATATATATATATATATACATATATATATATATATATAAATTAACAGGATGCAAAGTAGTTATCTCTAAGACGTTTCTTGAATATCAACAAAGTTTCGGAATTTCTTATATTTGACGGTAGTGAGTTCCATAATCTTACAGCGTGAACTGAAAAGGAGTGGGAGTAATAACCGGAATTAAAGACGGGAAAGTCAAGAAGATTTTTAACAAGGGCTCTGCATGGTTTGTCCGGTATGATTATTCCACATTAATAGACTATATAATTAATGCAGTAAGTTAATTTGTAACCTCTGATTTTAAATATTTTGGAAATTGTAATGAAAACTAAGTTTTAACTTTCATACAAAATATTTAATTATTCTTATTTTAGTTTATTCATGATATATTTAAAATATATTTCATTACCTATTTTATATTTACAGTTTTATATTAATTATAATTTTATATAATTTTTATTTTTTATATTAATTATATTTTATTACCGTTATTGTTTGTTTTATTAGTACAATTACAAATACTTAAAAAATATATTTTATTTCATCAGTTATGCTTACTTCTATTTATGTGATAAGTAAAATATACTTTTTTTAAATAAAAACAATGTACTGCAGATTAAAAAATTCTTTTGCGTATTTTGGGTAAAATTTCATATAGTAAGCCACACCAACCCGCCAACGCATTTTTGTGTGTCTATCTTTATCTAATCTTAGCGACGGTATTGTTTTCGCAACTTGTGTAAGTGAGACAGATATATGTTTACTTAAAATATTAAGTAATTTCAAAGCTACGTCAACGCGGTTGGATAGTGGTTACACTTTTGACACGCGGTAATGTGGTTTGCTCCTCTAATTATGTATAACTCAATGTGTTTTTACCTTTGTTGCCAAATGTACTCTTAAACCAAACTAAGAAACTCGAATTTTTGTAGTCATACATGTTATACTCAAAAAGATATAATGCATGTATGGCCATGGAACATGCTAAATGAATAAGATTTGTCCGATTGTTCAAATTTTTGAGAAATTAAAATGTGAAATATATTATTTGCCAAAGAATATTTATTTTATGTTAGGTTTTAGATGTCTATCTTTTGTCTTTTTACAATAATGTGTCCAAGAAATTTTTTCAGCACAGCTTCCTATCCACTTCAATTTATTATTTTATATTATGGACTCATAATTTCTGTTGTGGTACATATATCTTGTTAAAAGAATATACTCCATAGTCACAAGAAGATTTTCCATACATAATGTATTTATAAAGTTACATGGGGGCCATGCTGAAAGCATTGTCTGGCACAAACAACTTTGAATGCATTTTTCCTCAAAAGAAACAGATACATTGAAAAAGAAAGCGGTACAAATACTCCTACAGCCGTAGGAGTATTAGTACTGCTTTCTTTTGTGCATTTCAATATGTTGAATTAGTGCACACCTTAAATGCTGATACTGATTTCTGATACATAATGTATTTACAAAGACATGGGGGCCATGCTGAAAGATTTGACTGCACAACCACTTTTAAATGCATTTTTCCTAAAAGAATAGGGTTACATTGAAAAAGAAGCACTACAAATACTCCTGCAGTGTGAATGTTTGAATTATCACACTTAAATTTGATTCAGTGTGGCCAAGCAAGGCATAGAAATATTAGGCCATAATATTAAGAAGAAGAAACAAAACTGAATTTCATTATGACCCTGTGAATAGATTTATTATGTTATATCATGCTATTTTTGTTAGTTAATTGAAACAGAAACTTTTTTATTCAATGTAGATTATAACAATACTTATTGAAAGTCACTTTTTTCATTTACCATTGGTTCGCAAAAAAACCTCTGTCCTGGGAAGAACCAGCAAGAAACCCAGCGGGACTATTTTTTTTTCAATAATAGCTTACAATAATGTTTACAATAAACAACACAAGACAAATTAGAAATAGCTTGGTAGCGATCACCCTTCCCAGGGGTTATTATCATCCATAAATTCCTTAATATTATAATAACCCTTTTTTATACAAACTTAGTTTAATATCATTATTGAACTTCCTGCATGAAAAATTTTGTATATTTTCTGGGATTTTGTTGTAAAAGCGTATACATTGCCCCAAGAATGAATTACTGACTCGGTGGAGTTGAGTAACTGGTACTACTAGCTTGTGTCTGTTCCTAGTATTTACAGAATGAATATCACTTATTTTCGCAAAACTACTTTTATTTTTGTGTACGTACATTACATTTTCATAAATGTATTGAGAGGCCAGAGTTAATATATTAATTTCCTTAAATTTTTGTCTCAGTGACTCTTTTGGTTTTAAATTATATATTGCTCTAATGGCCCTCTTCTGTAAAATAAATATAATTTCAGTGTCAGTCGCGTGTCCCCATAGCAAAATACCATACGACATAATGCTATGGAAATAACTAAAGTAAACTATTCTAGCTGTTTCAACACTGGTAAGAGTTCTAATTTTTTTCACAGCATATGCTGCGGAACTAGTCTGCTAGCTAGTTTTGATATATGGGGGAGCCATTGAAGCTTTGCGTCCAGTGTGATTCCAAGAAAAATGGTGGTATCAACAAGACTCAGTTGCCCCCCATTTAAAATTGCATTAGTATTGACATGTTTAACATTAGGAGTTACGAATTTCATACATTTAGTTTTAGTTCCATTCAAATGCAAATTATTAACATTAAACCAATTGACTAACGCAGCTATAGCATTATTTACTTCGTCGTAATTTAATAACTGTCGTTTTAATTTGAAAATTAATGAAGTATCATCAGCAAATAATACTATATCATGGTTAACCCCTACTATGTAAGGTAAGTCATTAATATATACTAGAAATAGAAAAGGGCCGAGAATTGAGCCCTGAGGCACGCCCATTTGTACAATCGACCCGGAAGAACTCATACTATTAATGACAACTTTTTGCGTTCTGTCACTTAAATATGAAATAATTAATTTAAGAGCATCGCTTCTTACACCGTAGTGTTGAAGTTTCCTGATTAATGTTTCATGG